TTCAAATTCAGGCTGGGCAACTGCAACCTATCAATTTAGCAAGACCCTGTCTCAAAATAAAAATAAAAAATAGAAAAAATAGCTAGGGATGATTTCAGTAAAGATCATTAGTTCAGTCCTAGGTACCCCAAGATAGGTAAATAAACAAATAAGTATTTTGATAATCAAGAATACTTAAAGAAAAGGAAGATAGAAATCAATAATTAAAAAGACAAATAGTTTGCAAAAATGACTAAAATCTAATCCAATGAATGTTTATGCCTTCCTCCTTGAGTTAAATATTGTATTACAAACATGAAAGTAATGATGCAATGGTCCCATAGTAATCTCTCTAGTTATCAACACTGGAATACCCTTGAAGTATTTGTTTAAAACATGGACCTTCTACCTAGGACTTCCAACCACTCTCTTCCATGGCATCTGTAGTTAAGTAAAAGGCACACTGAATCTCCAGTGAAGAGTTGTTCTTGTCTTTGCCAAACTTTTTTATGAAGTTAATTTCACCAGGAGTATTTTATGTTTTGCTCACTGATCATATTGACTCTGTGTTAGCATCATATTTCTGCATGTGCCTTGGATTTTTTTCTGCTTTGTTAGTTTGATGATTGGCTTTGTTCATTTTTTTTTTTTTAATTCTCTCTCCATCTCAAGCAGATTTAGTGCTTGAGTAGTTTTGAAGTTGTCTCCATGCAGCTCTGAAGGTCCCCAAATCACAATCCCACTCCACACTGGTGCTTTGGGTTCCTCTTCTGCAGTCAAATGTTAAAGTCCTGGGGCAGCTCAGCCCTAGCTGGTTGTGAGGCTGCTTCACTGTCCTGAGATCTCCCCAGATGATCAGCTCTCTGAAAGCCACCATCCCGGGTGGACCTGAGCCAAAGCCACATTGCTTCAGCATATTTTCACTGGTGTCATGACGTGAGAGCCTCATGTTAAACCCAGAGTGGAGCAGTGAACTGTGTGCTATTTCCTGTCTGAGTGGGACACTTGTAGACCCCACCAATGGAGTCAAAATACTGGATTGTACTGCTGCTTTTGAAGCTACAAACCAAAACATTCTCGTTTTCAGCTCTATGTACATACTGTTTCTTTTTCTCACACAGACATTATCTTATTTCTGAGCTTTGCTTTATTTCTTTTTCCTATTTATATACACTGTTTTCTCCTATATTTGGCACACAGGGTTTGATAAATGAATGAATTGAACTGAATCCCAGCAAGTCTCTTTGAAATATTTATCTTGTCTAAGAAGTAAGTGTAGATGAACAAATGATGGGGTTGTTTGATTACATGCATTTTCTAAACTCTATATTTTTGCCTTGAAGTGGTTTTTTGGTCCTGAAAGACAAGAGCCTAAAGGTTTTGTCTTTCAATGTCTTTCCTCATTGAGGATGTCTTCCTCCGACCTTCCATATCTGACAGGATGCAGCAATCTGGACACAGGTAAACCTCAGAGACAGGTGGAGCAGGGGCACTCCATTACCCATGGGGTGTTCTTCACACTGGTGCAGAAGCAGGTGAATGCCTGAGGTAGCCGGAAAAATGTCACCAAATAAATCACATCTCAGTCCTCAGAACCAGTGAATCTGGAACCTTATATGCGGTGTTAGTCAGCTTTTCTCTCGATGGGACAAAATACCTGGCACAATTTAAAAGGAGGACAGTTTTATTTGGCTCACAGTTTCCAGTGGTTTCAGTACATGATTGGCTTGCTCAAAGCCAGAAATGGTGTAGTGGGAGGTCATGGTGGAAGAAAGTCACTCTACCCAACATAGCCAGCAAGCAGAAAGGGCAGGGAGGAGCCATCTCCAAGAATACACCCTACTAGGTCAACCTGCAGTTTCCTGTGCCCCTGGCCAGGCCTCAGCTCTGAACACATGAGATTTGGGGGGAATATTTTAGATCTAAAGTATAAGGTAGAGCACAGAGAACTTTGCATGTGTGAGGAAATTAAAGACATTAAGGAGATGGGAGATGATCTGGGATTGTCCAGGTAGGCCAGTGTTATCACAAGGATGATTAAAAATCAAGGCTGAGGGAGGAGAGGCAGTGAGAGAGAGAGAGAGAGAGAGAGAGAGTAAAGGTTGCTACACAGTGCTGGCACTTGGATTTTAGTGCAGCAAGACCAACTTCAAATTTCTAACCTCCAGATTTCCAGTCAAGTAAATGTGCAAGTTAATATATTTGTGCTGTGTTAAGCCACTAAATTTGTGGTAATTGAGTACAGCGCTACTGAGTAAGTAATGCCATGCATGATCCCAAGGCAGCTGCCCCATGAAAGCCTCAGACACCTCATCTGGTTTCAGTGCTTTTCTAACCATTGAGCCCACTTCTCTAGTCAACAGCCCTGGTCAGAAACTTTACTTCCCTAATACAGGACACAGGGAGTTCCCGGTCCCCTGGCTATGGGAAACTTGCTCTGTTTTTATTCCTTCTGCAGTCTCTCAGATCCTGATTCTGTGTGAGTTTGTTTTCTTGCTTGGCAGTAAATTTTTTCCAGAATGAGGGCAACCTTTGGTGCTGTATTCTTCATTCATTTTTACTTAGCACCCCTGAATACAGTGCCACACAAATCAGTAGAGACGCTCTCCAAATCGATGCCTGCTGCTATCTCCCATGAATCTCTCTTCCTCCTCACAGTGACTCATTGTTCATCATCTCACTTGCCTACCCTCTCCATGCCCATTCATTCTGAAGCAGCTGCAATCCAGACTTGTCTCCATCATTCCTCTAAAGTTTAACTATGCTCATCAGTAACCTAGTTGTTAATGATAAAGAAGAATTCTCAGTGATTATTTAACAAACAAAGGAATGAAAGATATCTTTCATTATATTAAGTCTGTGGGACCACTTTTTCCTGTTTCTCTGTTGTATTTCTTGCTGCTTTCTTCTCCAGTCAAAGCTTTGAAGTTGGTGCTCCCCAGTTCCTTCTGTTTCCACTGTGCAAGTTTAATCCACTCAACATACTCTGCATATCTGATCCATCCAAGGCTCTATGCAGGTGTGAAGAAAGCAGTCACACTTATTTGTATGGTTTCAAGAACACTAGAATTTGTGAAATTACAATTGACTATCTCTGAACTAATTTCTTTATGAACTGAAAATACAGTGGCCACACTATCAATGGACAAATTCTAGTTTCACTCCTCCATTTGGTGCAAACCTAATCCATTAACCTTGCCTCCCAAATGTACTCTTTATCCTCTATCTTGCATCTTTCCTGTGACAAGATACAAACCTAGGAGTCACCCTTCACTCCTGCCCTCCGTCCTGCTGCCCTAAGTCCCTACATGCTTTCAGTATTCAAATTGGATATTGAATATTTTGGGAACATAGGGAGGCAAGATTACCAAATGAGAGTAGGTGAAATCAAGGTAGGTATGCAAATGAATCAAGAAGAAAATGGAGCATTAGTAGAAATATTTGCTACATGATCAACTGAATGACTAACTTCATGTCATGCTTTTAACATATCATCTTCCACATTTATGCCAAAATATTTTTAAATCTTAATCCTAAATATCAGATCATGCTTCTCTCAAAAGTCCTATATATACTGCTGTGAAAGAAGTCATTATCATCTCCTACTTGGTAGTTGCTTTATAGAATGAAATTTAATTACTGCCCCAGACCTGAAATCCGTTTTATGGATTTCAGTTCTTAACGTCCTTCCTCAGCTCCCTAAATTCCTGGTCATAGTGTCAAAGCAAAACTCAGGGTCTGGAAAACTGTCAAGAGCTGTCTGGCCCTCAGCACACACACTCTGCCATCTGGCTGTTTTGTAATTACCTTTTGGAGAGTGTTCTTTGCTTCATTTGTGAGTACCCATTATGAGAAGATACATTCACATCTGAAATGAATCTCACTGCCATCTACTTCTCAAACTTGTGCCAACCTGGGCCCCATTCCCATGTCCCTCCCACCCTGGCCACCCTGCCATCCTCCCCACACCATAGTGCAGGTCTGGATGCAGGATGGATGCAGGATGGAGATAGTCATAGTTGGGGGACTTCTAAGTCTCAGGGCTGGGCATAATCTCTTGTCCCCACCCTAGACTGGTGGAGTCACAGCATGTGCAGGGGCTGATTTGCAGGGCCAAGACTCTCACTCCAGATTTCATGGATCTAGTGCTTCCTGGTGTCAAGACTGCGACCATGCCAGGGTTACCTGTCTGTCTGCTTTGGTTGAGATGGCTGCCCTGTGGAAAGGCAGATACCTGGCTGGACTTCCTTATCCCTAGGCCTGGCATACTTGGTTCAGCGGATGGTAGGAGGGGAACCTACCTGGCAGTGGGCAGGCCACGTGCATGCCAACCTGCAGGCAATCCTTACAGACACTTGTCAGAGTCTTCATGTGCCCTGTAGTGACTTCTGTACCCAAGGAAGTGGGACACTACAGGACATATCAGATGTGCCAGGTCTTGGAGCCCTTAAAAGAAAGGAAATTCTTCATGAATGATTTAGTATCTCTAAATTCTGTAGAGCATTTAATGACAATTTCCACTATATTTTTGAAACATTGTCATTTCCCTTGTTGATTTTTATATTGCTCAGGGCCTTGCAAATTATGCAGGCAGACAAAGCTGGGCTCCTTTAGAAAACTTGACCTGAAATCCCTTGGTTTTGAAAATCAAGTGTTTCTCCAAAGGAGCAGAGCACAGACAAACATGTTTTTTAGATGAACTTATTAGTTATAATTGTCAATACGGTTTCCTTTCCTGATTCACACCTTGTACTGTAGGGACTTCTCATGAGGAGTTTAGACTGAGGAGAGTTGATTGGCTTGTGTCCTAAAATGTCCTAGGAGGTAGATGTCTTTTAAAAGGCTCCTTCTCAAATACGTAAATATCCTTTGCAAGGAAAAGCTTCACAGATGTAAAGAATCAGGCATTAAATAAAATGTCTTCAATTCCTCAGATCATGGGATTCCTGGGCCAATGAAACTTCATAGATTTGCCTGGGGTTGGCCATGAGGTTTAGGTGTAATTTTGTGACTTAAAACAAAGAGAATGATTTTCTGAGTCATTAAATTACTTTTGTTTTCTTCATAATTATAGTGGAAAAATGCACATTTGAAAGCAGTTGCTCAGCCCTGCAGTTTGATGTCTTTATCATTCCCTCCAACAGCAGAGGCAGGAATCCAGCAAGCATCACTGAGCAGAACCATGAGCAGCAACCTCTCCCAACCGGCTCTGCTGCTTTGCTATGAGAATGTGGCTGGGTCCTGTATTAAGACTCCCTACTCTGCTGGCTCCCAGGTGGGGCCATGTGTAGGATTTGGCTCTGGGACCGGGCTGGCTGTCTTTGGAAACCCACTGGTGATAATCTCAGTCCTCCATTTCAGGCAGCTGCACTCTCCAGCCAATTTCCTGGTCACCTCTCTGGCCTGCACTGACTTCTTGGTGGGAGTCACTGTGATGCCCTTCAGCATGGTCAGGTCCGTGGAGAGCTGCTGGTACTTTGGAGCTACATTTTGTACCCTTCACAGCTGCTGTGATGCAGCATTTTGCTACTCTTCTCTCTTCCACCTGTGCTTCATCTCCGTGGACAGGTACACGGTGGCTCCTGGCCCCCTGGCCTACCCCATCAAGTTCACGGTGTCTCTGTCAGGCATTTGCATCGGTGTCTCCTGGATTCTGCCCATGATGTACTTTGGTGCCATGCTCTACACAGGTGTCAATGACAATGGGATGGAAAGTTTAGTGAGTGCTCTCAACTGTGTAGGTGGCTGTCAAATAGTTGTTAATCGAGATTGGGTTTTGATAGATTTTCTGTTATTCTTCATACTTACCCTTATTATGGTAATTCTTCATAGTAAAACTTTTTTGGTAGCCAAACAGCAAGCTGTCAAAATTGAAAGTACTCTGGGTACTTCTTCAGAATTATCCTCAGAGAGTTACAAAGCCCGAGTAGCCAAGAGGGAGAGAAAAGCAGCCAAAACCCTGGGAGTCACAGCGGTAGCATTTATTATTTGCTGGTTACCATATACAGTGGACGCATTAATTGATGCTTTTATGGGGTTTATCACTCCTACTTATATTTATGAGATTTGTTGTTGGGGTGCATATTATAACTCAGCCATAAATCCTGTAATTTATGCTTTATTTTATCCTTTGTTTAGGAAAGCCATAAATCTTATTTTAAGTGGAAAAGTTTTAAAGGACAGTTCATCAACTATGAGTTTATTTTTGCAAGAAGTGTGAGCACTACATTGAAAAAGTAAAGAATATTTGCAAATTAGGAATGTATGATGATGAACTTGAATATAAGAAATAATTATAACTATTCAAAATTGGGGAAATATAGTATTTTTAAATTATCCAAACAGAAATTCACGGGAAACTGAAATCTTTAAGCTATTGCAAAGTTATTTACTATAGTAAATAGTAAAAAATAAGCACTTTACACATGTCACCTGTGTTAATGTTGTGTATGTGTACTTGTGACGTGTACCTTTTTGTCCAATTGGCTGACTTCTAAATTTTATTTTTGGATGCTATGTCTCTTGTCATCTCTTCTTTTATGCTCATGTCTAAATCACCTTTGAATGTTCTTTCTTTCTCTGTCATTAGTGTTACTGTGTTCGTTTGCCAGGGCTTGTAACCAAGTGGCACAGGCTGGTGGCTCCAACCACAGACTCGTATTCTCATAATTCTAGAACCTAGAAGTCCAGGATGAAGATTTCCTGGCATTGATGTCGGTTGAGGGATGCTCTTCTTGGCCAGAAGATGGCTCTTTTTGCACATGCTCTTCCTCTGTGTGTGTCTGGGTCCTAATCTCAGCAGGACAGCAGTCATATTGAATTAGAGCCCATCCTACACACCTCACTTCAACTTAATGACCTCTGTAAAGACTGCCACACTGGGGGTTAGTCAGGAGTTCAACATATACATTTTGGGTGATGCAATTCAGCCCATAACAACCACAGCCCAGGTGTGGTGATGCCGCCCACCAGGCTTTTTTTTGCTGCTCTTGTGAAGGTTCTTCCCACTTCCTTCAATGTCTGTACCTCTCAGGAGTTTGCAGGGGCAGCAAGTAAGCTTCTTGTGTTAATGGTGTGGAGCATCTGGAGTGCTCCCCCAAGCATTGTGGGAGCAGCAGTTCAGCTTTAGGAGCACATTGTTAACCACAGAAATTTTGCAAGTGGAGAAATCTATGAAAAAGGGCAGGCACAGTGATTATTAACAAAGTGAAAATGCAAATGAGTTACTATCACCAGCAGTTATTTGCACAATTTTTATCATTTTGTAAGACCATGGGCCTCACCAAACACTCCGAGGAGCTGGCTACAGCGAAGATCACCCGGGAGGGAACACACCGGACAAGTTGTGAACGTAAAACAGACCTTTATTAGTCTGGCCAGATGACACCCTCCAAGCACCAAGCTTAGAGGCGCCTGGCTCAGGGACTGAGGTCTTTTTATAGGGGTCGCAAGAGGGAACTTGGCAAGCAAAAGTACAGAAGCGAGACGTTGGAGGTTGGGGTAGTGTAGGAACTAATCTTTACATAACAGGCATAAGACTAACTTGTGGTTTCCTTGGAACAGCAACAAGTACATTCTGGGAACTCGACGTCCCCATGGTGAAGTGTAACAGAAGGAGACAAGATGGGGCCTTATTACAAAATGGAGTAACTTTTGTTCAGTCTCACAATCTGAAATAGTGATTAATCAACTTGTGCAGCTTTTTAAAACGTTTTTTTAACCTAAAAATGGTGAGGACAGTAGTTCCCTTGTTTATTTGTAGGATAAAGTTCAAGATCCTCATGGATTTGAACTTTATACAAACCATAAAATTTCATGTATATATGATCAAGTTTAATTATAACAGGTACAATAATAGCTAATAATAAAATAAAGCAATCATAAGAATATGCTGTGGTGGATTGTGTAATGGTCAACTTGTAATGCCCAGCTGAACTGAATCAGCGTGGTCTGGGCATGAAGGATCCACCTGAAGATTGTTACCAATAGCCATAAAAGAGAACTGTAGGGGAAGATCTTGGGCTGTTGATTTTCTAGGAGAAGCTTACTTCAGATGCTTTTCCCAATGCAAACTAGGGTGTTCTCATCAGAGGGGCAGCTCAGGACCTCGCTGTTGCTGAGAATGGCTGCTGTTTTCATCAGGGGAGCTTGATCTTCAACATGAGCATCACTTCCTGGATCCAATGTGGATTCCTCAGCTTAGTGGCAGAAATCCTCCATCTCACCAATGTAGATTTTCTGGCTTCCACCACTGGCCTTTGGGTCTTCCACGTGCAGATCCTCAATACGGACAAGCATGAGACATTGCCGTGGGCTCTAGGCCACTGGCTGCACTCGAGGAGGACATTGGCTTGGACTCTAGGCCTTCAGCTGAACTTGTGTGGGAAATTGCTGGGATCTAGGCCCTCAGTTGAATCCTTTGGGCTTCTAGTGTTCAGTTAATCTCTTACACTCCTTTGCATTTGACTCTTTGGGTAATTATCATAAAATAATCTTATAAGTTATGTGTCCTGTATTTAATGTATTCCCTCGCCAAATCCTTCTGGCTACAATATATGCTATAATAAAATTTAGATGAATGTGATGTCTGACACAAAATATTTATACCGTACTCATCCTTTTTCTTCCTGTGAAAGTCTTATATGATGAAATGAATTGCCAAACCGAGTTGTCTGCTGAGTGACTAATGGGTGGATATACACTCGACAGTGGGATGATTCATAACAGGCAGAATGGTGCTCAATTAATGTTTATATATTGTTTATTTCTGAAATTTTCCATTTAACCAAAGTTGACAGTAAATTAATGAACTGTAAAAAACAAAGCCATGCAGAGGTGAGAAAGACAACAGCATTTAAATTGCCCAGAGACTTCTGGGCTGAAAAATTACATGCCAGTCCTGCAAATAAAAGGTATTGCATTCAAAATTCATGCTATAATTTTACATTTTACCCTGTAGAATAATTTAAATTGGTGAGTCAATAAAAGCCAATTTGGAATTCACATCTAGAGTCTTCTGTATAATGAAACTAAATTGTAGAACAGTAGTGGTATATAACCTTTCTTTTTTGTATGTTCATCTTTGGAGTCATTAATTAAAATTATTTAAGTTTTTTTTCCATTGATTTCCAATGAGGGTTTAAAGTTTTTTTCAACCAATTGTTTTATAGAGTACAATTATCTGTTAAGTGTCTGTGTTAGGAATGATTAAGGATAAAACAAAGTTTATTTACAGTATTTTCCTTAAGGAAAATAATTTTGAGGGTAATATGAACACATTTTATTTATTTGTTTTTCCAAAAATTTTATTGCCATATTTTTGTTATATAATAAATACATTAATCGGGGGAATTGATTATGCACATATTGCATCTTAATTATTTTTTAGTCTCATATCACCTCCCCGCCCTCCCAGTTAGCTCCCCATCCCAAGACTCCCTTTACAGCTTTTCAGAAAACCGACTCTTAGATTCATTCATTCTTGGTGGGGATTTTGTCTCAATTTCATTAATTTCCACCCTGATCATTCTAATTTCTTCCTATTAGTTTCAGATTTGGATTGTTCTTGTCTTTCTAGGGGCTTGAGATGAATCATTAGGTTATTTGGAATCATTCTATTCTTTTATGTGTACATTTACAGCAATAATCTTCCCTCTTAGAACTGCTCAGTGTGTGCTATAAGTTTTGTCCTTTCCTGCTCCCATTGCCATTTCACTCTAAGAACACTTTTATTTCTTCTGCTATTTCTTCTATGAGCGATTAATTATTCAATGATGAAGATTTAGTTTACCTATGTTTGTACAGTTTGAGTGGCTTCTTTTACTGTTAATTTCTAGGTTCATTCCTCTGTCTTGACAATATGCTGGAGATTATTTCACTACTTTTGTATTAAGCATGCTTTATGGCCTAAAACATGGTCTATTTTGGAAAATGTTCCATATGGCAACAAAACATTTTAAATCATATTGTGGAGGGCCAAAAATGTTTTTCCCACATGTGATCCAATGGATTGAGGGGTTAAAAATGAAATTAAAAGAAACTGTTTTTCTGAGTAAAAGGACATTTAATGAGACTTCAAGCGTATTTGAATTTGCATATATAGGAATGTGGAAACCTTTTTTGACCACAAGATTAATTCCCATTAATGAAGTACTGTGGTGGCAATTAGAAGGCAATAAGTACCTACTACAGCAACAACCACCAATGAATAAAGTTTCATGCTATTATTCAATGACAATGGATCAACCAAGCTGGAGCAGATTTTATAAAGCTATCATGCTCAGTCTCTATTTTTAAAATGTAGAGGACAAACAGAAAAGAATTAAGTGAAAGATTTGGTTAATAGTACCAGTGTAAATATTGTATAGATTGCACTATTGCTTTATTAAATTATAAAGAATGTGATGTAAATTCAAAAGTAGAATATATTTTTGAAATATATCCTATGGGTAGGCACAAATATTTATAATTCTAAAATTGTGTTTGTTTTGAACATGTACTGAGTATGTGAAACTTCACAAAAAAGAAGATACAATATTAGTCTTCCATATCTTTCTTAAGTGGGATCACCCTAGATATGCTGATCATAGCTGTCTGGTTACATAAGCATATAATGTTCATTCATACCACAGATAACCTCACTGGCTATTGATGACAGAATTAGAATTAGAGACATGTTTCCAAGAAAACTTATTTACAGATTTGGTTAAGTCTATGATAATATCACTCAAGAGAACATGAACATAGACACCAGATCATGTTAATTAATACTGAGTATTACAATGACAGTTCCTAGATCTTGCCTAAATTCTACTTCTTTTAATTCTAATTTCTAATTTCTACTTGTTCCTTAGATAATAAAGTTCAAATATATTTACCACCAAAATTCAGCGTATGCTCAGAGATACAACATGAAAAGAATCCTCTTAGGGTCTAGATAAAGATAAGATGGCCAAATAAAAATAAGACATTGTACACATGTTGCTGTAGAATTGCTAATTAATATAATGAGTTGAAAGAAACACTAGATGCAGTAATTGACAATAAGCACATTGAAACCATTATTTCTAGATGATTGAAAATAAATTTGCCTAGCTTTACCTTATTATCATTGAAAACTAGTTGGAGACATCAATAACTTCCTGACACAGACATATATTTCCTATATTTATTTAGTTTGCTTAAGATGAAAATGT